CAATCCGAGCCCAGTATTAATGCACGCCTCCACCAGGACTCCATCACAACACAGAAGGCACCCAGGGAGGGGGAGCCAATGCTGGATCCAAGCCTGCACCCTGCAACCCAAGCCACCAGCCATGGGCACCTGTGACGACTGAGCATTTGCAGTATGGCTGGTCTGAAAGGGGGTGAGCTATAAATTAGTGTAAAGGACACAATGAGTCCGAAGACTTACTATTAAGAAAAGGGAGGTAAAATATCTCATGAATCGTTTTTATGTTGATAAGGTTTTGAAAGGATAGTAGCTTGGATAAGAGTATTTAAAATTTAAGAAGTGTATTAAAATTAATTTCACCTGTTTCATTTTACTTTTTAATGTGGCTACTGGAACATCTAAAATGACATACACAGGCATCATTCCTAACTCACGTGCCAGCTCTGTTGGGCAGTGCTGGTCCAAACAAAGTACAACTACGTGCTTTTAAAACTTCTTTGGAAAGAGGGAGCAAACACCAGTGGTTTCTCCATTAGCCCCACTTTTATGTTATCTGCAACACAGTTTCAATTTATTAAGCTGGATAGGGGTTGTGAGATTCAGCACTTTAAGGGAGCTGAGGTTTCTGGAGATGTCCTAGAGCTATTGTTTAATTCATACTCCCTCCTTAGTGGTTCCCACCAGCAAGGCAACTCCTTGGAACCCACCAGGAAAGCTGATAGGCACAAACCAAGCCAAGGTGGCTTCACGTGCATGCTTTGGTGCTTTGTTCTTGTTCTGGTTTGGTTTGGTTTTGTTTTCTTGTGGGAAGTCACGTATTTTATTCATCAATTTTGGGCAGTCTGAAATGGCCCTCTTCCCCCTCCACCCTGACCAGTGATTCCAAGGTGATATAAGAACTGCTAGTAAGTCAGAACAGAGGTCACATAATTGTCTTGCGGATCCCACCTTCGCCAGGTAGAGAGTTGGCCATGGTCCTGGTGGCAGGGGAGCCAAGAGTCTCCACCATCCCATTTCAGACTCTTCCCTCAGGACCGCCCTAGCAGCACCCAGCTAGCTGTGAAGTGCCCTGACCAGACCAGCCGCCAGATACTTTGACTATCACTCCCCAGATCCTTCAGACCGTGGCAGTACCAACCTAGCGCCCCTAACAGTAGGCTCCCCTCTGATTATGGTGCCCAATGCCATTTCTTCAAACACTGCTCTTCTGAAGCCCCATCTTAAAGGATGGGGTCCCCAAACGGAGAGGATCCTCAACAGCAAGGTTGTCATGGGTCCCGTTCCCATCTTTATAGGTGCTATAGGTCACTAGCCTCATCCAGCCTCGATCTCACCCCAGGGTTCTCCCCATGAATTCCGAACGATGCCGTACTCAGTGCCATGCCTGACAAGCCAGCGGGCCACAGAAATGACATGGTTTATGTCACAGTACGCCCCGTAGACGCCCCCTGTATAGTTAGCCGTTACACAGCAGCTGACAGGGCCCTTGGCGAGGTTTTCTGCCATCGTCTTCTCCCCTCCGAGAGGGAGCCCTGGCTTTCCAGAGGGCGGAGCTGTGAGGGCATGGCACTGTGAGTTCATGCATGGTCCATACTGCTTCAACTTGTCCTACTGCTGGTCCTTGGCCTGGAGTTGGTGCAGGTCTTGTCGCCCCGAGCTTGCGGGCTGGTCGTTGCCCACCCCGCGGGCGGGAGCCCGTGCGCACAGGGTGGGGGCCACGCCCCCTTCCTCTGGCTGTCGACCCCTTCCGCTGCGGGGCCGCTGCTGGCGTGGGGCCCGCAGGAGCCGCAGTCCTGGCGATGGGCTGGTTCCCGGGGCACACACTGACCCCATTCGCCCCGCGCCAGTCCCAGCTCTTGGGCAGATCCGATGAGAACAGGTACTCATGGGGCCCAGGGTATGAGTGGCGGGGCCCTGCAGGGCCAGTGGCGGCTCGGCCCTGGCCGGAAGAGCAGCGGCAGCGGCAGCGGCAGCGGCGGGCTCCCTGCCGTGGCTCCGGGCCCTGCCCGGTAAAGCCTCTGCTTGTTTCTTCAGTTCAGTGGTTCTCGAAGGGTACAGAGCGTCAGAATCACCTGTGAAGTCTGTGTTCCAGGAATCTTTTTTCCCCCATTAATATTAATTTTTAAAGTAGGCTCCGCGCCTAGCAGGGAGCCCAGTGCGGGGCCTGAGCTCACGAACCTGAGATCAGGACCTGAGCTGATATCAAGAGTTGGCCGCTTTAACTGTCAGAATCTGTGTTTTTTTTAAAGCAGCCTACATTAAAAAAAAAAAAAAAAAGCAGCCTTGGTATATTCTCATGCAGGGGCCTGAACACCTTCGGAGAAGCCCTCCCAGCCATTCTGACTGAAAGACTCACCTGAGGGTATTTGGCAAATATGCAGACTCCCAGGCCCCTCCCAGACCCCGGGACCGGAAAGTCCAAGAGAGAGACTTGGGGAATTTGGGAAACCTTGTCTTAAAGTGATGGTTCTCAGTCCCCACTGTGCAGGAGATTCAGCAGGGGGTTCAAAAAGCCTGAGGCCTGGGTCACACCCCAGGACAATCACATCAGACTCCTGGGGGTTGGGACCCAGATGTCTGTTGTTTTTTAAAGTTTGTCAGCCGGTTTCAATTTACAGCCGCGGGCTTCAATGAGAAGCATGGGTTTGGTCCTAGTAAATCAGCCCATCTCCTTTCTCCTTATATAGAGCAAAATACATCCTTTCGTAGCTCCCGAGCGCCCAGAATAAAATGTCTAAGCACAAAGTCCACACTGTGTCACTTCCTAAACTGTTGAGTACCTTTTTCTAGTCTGAGAAGGGTTCTTTCTAGATTGTGCTCCCTGCCCCTCCAGGCTGGCTGTTAACTTTCTTGCAGTTGTTCGTGCTGTGCGGGTGTGAAAGACTTCATTAACCCTCTCTGCTGCATCGGACGCGCCCCCTCCCCAAATAACTCCTAAACCCACTGCAGAAACCACAGGTGCGGGCCCCTAGATCCAGGTCCCAAGCCCCTGCTCTCAGACCTCTTTGGATGGCACTACATTTTCTTTTAAGAGAGCAAGGCCTGCTGCTGTCTTTGCTCCCCACCTGGGGCCTCTTCCCTTCCAGAAAGGGTAACAACCTGCTTTTTAAAGGGGCCACCGTGACCTTATTCCTTCTGCATAATTTAAAGATGGAGATTTAAAAAGAAACATTTTTCTTGACACTTGAGATTCCTTCCACTTGGCCTCCACTGCATCTTGTATGAACTTTATAGTAATTATCTTATTGAATTATAATAATTTGGTCTATGCATGAACATCTCCCACCCAGACTGTAAACTTCTTGAGGTACGAAGATGGGTCTTACTCATCTTTGTGCCCAAAGTATCTAATAGAAAGCCTGGCACATAGTGAATTCTTGGTAAGTGTTGAAAAGAACTCAATGTATAAATGAGGTACTATATTTTGGGTTGCTGACCCATCCAGAATCCCTTTTCCCCTGGTCACCATCAAACAACAGTGGCCAGTGAGAAGTAAACAGAAATCCTCTGGCTAGGGCCACCAGGAGGATCTTTGAGTTACAGACTGGGCTGGCCTGCTCTCTTCACCCTGTACCGCTTCCTACTTTTTTTTTTTTCCCCTTCTTCTTGCCTGGAACTTAAAGGTAAAGCCTGGAGGTATATAGCAGACATATTGTAATCATGAGGTGAACAAAAAGAGCACAAAACCAGCCCCGGACCGCCTGCCCACCTCTGCACTTCTTGTTATGGGAGAGAAAAAAAAAACCCCCACATCTGCCCCTGTGGTTTTCTGTTATTTTCAGACAAACATATTTATAACTGATATAACAAGGATGTTATTCATAAGAATGCATTTAAAGCACCTCGTATTGTTCTTAGCACAGAGACCCATTAAGTGTTTGCCTATTCCACTTATTCATGCAAACAGAACCTTGAAAAAATGATTTTGGGGACAGAAGGGTCATAATCTGATAAGAACAGACTATACCCTAACTCAAGATGTGTCTGCTAATTTGAAAACAGCTTTGTTTCAGACCCTGCAGACCGTATTATATGGGTCCTAGAGGTTATTTCCAAGGCTTACTTCCTCCTGTTAGAAAAAGTAGCCCGGTCGAAGCTGCAAATCAAGCCCCAGCAGCAGAAACAGCCTCCTGGTGTTACCAGTTCCCTGAGTGTCATATTTCAAGTAAATGCTTCTCCATAAGGCGGCCTTTGCAGGAATGATGCCTGCTCCAAGGTTAGTTGGCTGGCTGGTATGGGCTTTGGTTTTTTTCTCCAGCCTGGGCTGCCCAACTGCAGGATGCAGGAGCTCCTTGGGGGGACAGAGCTAGGAGCCACAGTGTCCTTTGCAGGCTCCTTCGCCTGAGGGTTCATGGTTACAAGAGGTCCGCTGATAACTGCATGAAGGAAATGGATTTAGAAGGAAGAGAAGAGAGATCAGCTGTCTCAGACTGAACCATGAGGGAACGCTCCAGGACCTGGTCTCCGGTTATTCTCTGTGGGATTCCCCACCTCTTCTTTAGAATTTCTGGGACTCTCTTTCAACTTTTTTATTTTTTATTTTTTAACTTGCCTCCAAGCAGCTTGATGTCCTCTCTTGAAAAGGAAGTGTTAATGCCGGCCTTTGGGGTACACAGTTTTTGCTTACTTTTAAAAGAATACAGCTGGATTTTTATCACCTTGGAATTTAAAAATACTGAGCAATTTCAATATGCCAGGCACTGTGCTAAGTGGCCTTATGTGCATTCGCTCATCCTTACAATCCCCCAGCTGTGTAGGTGCGATTCTTCCATTTTATAGATGAAGAAATGGAAGCTCAAAGAGGTTAAGAACATGTCCAAGATCACACAGAGCCACAAGTCTAATCTGGGGTGTCTATGTCTGGAGCTCCCTTACCCATTCCGACATCCCCCGTCCTCTCTGCTGGGGCTTTGGACAACCTCTTCCTCCCCTCACCACCGCCCAAGCCCCTGGCCGAGGCTCCAGGCTCCCGTGTCAAAGACAGCACGGAGAAGCCCGTCTTGTTTATCGAGGAGACTTACGCTGAGGGGTATGTTTCGGCTTGTGTCTTCTGGATCGAAGGCCTCAACCTGGTAAATGAATCCTGGGTTTGCTCCTTCCAGTATGTACAGGTCTAGACCTAGATCAGCATCCAAAGTGGAAGAAGAGGCATTTTATTAGGTAAAGCAAATAAGGAATTACAGAACGGGGACAGCCGCACCCAGCCAAGGAAAACCAAGCGCATTGGCGTCGTGGGAAGGAGGGATGCAGGAATAAAGGCTGGGAGTTAGCCCACGGGCCAGCTGGTGTGAGCGGACTGCTTATGGGAATTTATAAAGTACTTGAGTGGCCAAGCTGGGATCACATCTTCCCGCATTTCCTCCGCTAAGAGATGATCTAGGGGAGGAACCTCCGTGTGAGTCTGCTTCCTGTTCTGATTCACTTGCACGTGCAAATTCCTCCAAAACCGAGTGGAGGTCTCCTGTTGAAGTGCACTTAGCATGTCGGGCTGAAAGGACTTGCAGCAGGATTAAGGGAGAGGGCTGCAGAGGCTCCGGAAGGGGACCAGAAATTGACTTCATCTCCTTCAGAGTTCTGGGCAGCCAGGGGGAACCCGGCACTTGGCACCACCAGCCCGGCCTGAGGGGCTGCCCCCCTCCACTCTGGCCTCTCTGAGAGCCCGTCCTTCTGCGGGAGGGCTGGGAATGTGCATGTCAGCTCACTCTTTGGAGCCACGGTGCTGAGGGCTTATGTTTTCTCCTTTATCGTCATAACCCCCGTGCACAGGTATCGCAATTCTTTCCACTTTACAAATGAGGAAACAGGCTTAGGGAAATTAGGAGGTCTCAGCGAGGAAGGAAGTGAGAGCATAAAACTTCAAACCCAGCCTGTCTTAGATCTGAGCTCCAGCTCTCATTCACCTTTATCATTGCTCGTGCTTTCACTCAAAACGATGTTTACTGGGTTCTCACTCGGTACCAGACACTGATCTATCCACGCACTGGGAACATAGCAGTTCACGGAACACAAAACCCCGCTCTCGCGGAGCTTGCACGATAGTGGGACGATATGGACAATAAAATAAATGAGCGAAATATGTGAACGTTACTGAGCAAGGTCCTGGAGAAAATCAGGAAATGGAGTGTTGTGGGTTGGGTTACAGTGTGAAATGGAGTGGTTGTGGAAGATTCGTGACACTTGAGTCTAGATTCTTAAAAGAAATGAGGATCGTAGAGATATGGGGGAAGGGGCAAAGAGCAACTGCGGAGATGCCAGCGAGGGCGAGGGTGGTACGGGGGCCACAGCAGAGGGGGTGGGAGGAAATGTGTGGAAGGGGACACGGTGAGGGTGGGAGGGGGCCAGATTTGATGGTGCCTTAAGGAGACTCTGGCTTTCCTCCTTGAGGGAGATGGGAAGTTCTTGTGTGGTTTTAAACAGAGGAGTGCCTTGATTTGACTGACATTCAACAAGATCCTTCTGGCTGCTATGCAGAGAATAGGTGGACAGAGACAAGCGCAGAGCTGGGAGGCCGGTTAGGTCACCATCGCAATAATCCAGGTGACACATGACTACGGACTTGCACCGTGGTGGTATGGATGGAGATGCCAGGGAGCAGTCAGACTGCATAGACGTGGAAGTGGCAAGATTTCCTCACGGATTGGATGTTGGGTGTGAAAGGTGGAAGAGTCAAAGCTGACTTTGAAGCTTCGAAGTAGCTAAAATGGGAAAGACAGGAGAAGCAGATTTGGCGGGGTGGGGGGGATGGTGGGGGCCAGGGGTGGAGTGGAAGTCAAGAGTTTGATTTGGGGGCATGTTACGTTTGAGATGTCATGTTCTGACACCAATTCTAATGTGTGGGGGATTTTCCTGTACCACCAAGCGATCCTTTGGCACCAGCTGGGGGTTCTACAGTTCAACTCGATTCTGATACTAGCTACCCAGAGACAACCTTCACATTCCACAGACTAAGGACTCCGCCCCACGAGACACCCCCAACCCCCACTTCAGACACCAATTTCAAGTTCAGGTTGCTCCCCATGCCTCTGATCCATTAGCTATAAATCTGAGTTTCCCACCATCCCCTCTTTGGGTTTGATGAATTTGCTAGAGGGGATCACAAAACTCAGGGAAATACTGTACTTACTAGATTATTGGTTTATTACAAAAGGATATAACTCAGGAACAGACAGATGTAAGAGACGCATAGGGCATGATATGGAGAAAGGAGCACAGAGCACAGTGCTCTCCGGGCACACCACCCCCCTGGAAGAGCAAGATGGTTCATCAACCTTGAAGCTCCCCAAACCCCATCCTTCAGTGTTTTTATGGGGCTTGATTACATCGGCATGACTGATTACATCATTGGCTATTGGCGATTGAGCACCATCTCTACCCTCCTGCCCTCCACAGAGAGGTAAGGGTGAGGTGGAGTGCGGGACTGAAAGTTCCAACCTTCTAATCACATGGTTGGCTCCACTGGCAACCAACCCTCACACGTAGGTGACCTGGGAGCATTCCAAAAGTCACCTCACAAAATCCCACATGCCTATTAGACATGGCAGACAGAGATGTGGGATAAGACGGCTGGATATTTAAGTCAGGAGCTTGGAGGAGAAGCTGGACTAAAATGACAGAGGTGGAGGTTGTCAGTATGGCTCAAAGTCATGAGCCTGGGAGAGACCATGCAGGAAGTTACCCTGTGCTCAGTCCTTTATATTGTTCCTGCTCTGCAGCAGACCCCAGTCACATACTGCCCTCCGGGGGCCCGTGGGGAAAATGAACACGTCACTTAATGACCACAGCACACGGGGATGAGCTTTCGATGGGCTCGGCCCAGCTTCCTTCAGAATGACCCCCTCTCGAGATTCCTCAGCCTCAGTTTCCTCCCCAGGACTGAGAGAGGCCCAAGAGAAACCACGGAAGTGAGGGGCTTTGTAAATTGTTGGGCATCATTTTGTGGAGTCCTGTGCTGGAAGACGTTTCATTTATTCCCTGCTCATTAAGCAGCTGCCTCTTCTAGGCAAACAGCTGCTTGTTTACTTACTTTTCTCTTTTGCTCTGTCCCCCAGGGTGCCCCCCGATGCCACCATCTGGGCTGCACTGCACAGCCCAGTGTATCTTACCTTTTGCCAAGTTGCCTTGGAACTGAGGCGGCTCGTTCACATCTGTCACCTGGACAGTCAGGATCTGGAGGTCGGTGACACCGACATCATCCTTGACATAAATCTGCAAATCAAATACGTTTGGTCCTGTTTCAAAGTCTAGTTTTTCCATCCCAGTGGTGACAACCTAAAAGCAAAGGCAGAATTCTTAGTAACCATGTGCAAGGAGATCTGTTTTGTATGCATGCATTTTGCAAAGGAACATTACTAGGAAGGAAGCAACCAGCATCCTGGAAACCATCTTTCCCCCACAGTCAGAGGAACCGGTTGTTTTGCCTTAGTCCTTCCAACATAAGCCCCGTGACCTTTTGCCAAGGGGACTCCTGTGCATGATGCCGCTTTTCAGAGGAAAGAAAATATTTAGACGACATCCTGGTTCCATCGACTGGAGATGGAAAGCCAGGAATTAAAACCCTGTCGCTGCTTGGGGTAGGCACCTAGACAAGCCCCTTAGCAACCCTGAACATAGTTCGGCTCCCTGGGCTTTAAGAATAAGCCACTGCACTTTCCTGGGATTGCTGTTAAGTCACATCTTGACTCGGCACTCCATGCAAATTTTCCCAAGGCCATGACCGTGAATAAACAAGGGAAGGATACATCTGCAGAAATAAGGAACAATATATACTTACATCAACAGCCGGCTCAGTGTTTTTGTGCGTTTCCACACATTCTCCCGCTCTTGGAAACTTGTCTCCTGCACTATAAGTGTTTTGGAGATGTGGGAGGGACACCAAGAACCAGGGCCAGAGAAACATCACTGGAATTGTCAGCAGGAACCTGGCTGGCCCACAATGGGAGGGTCCTGCTGAGGCTAGCTGGAGGCCAACTTGTGACCTCCCGTGCCTACATGCATACTCCGGCCACCAGCTTAGACCGCAGAGTGCCCAGAGCCCTTTGGGACCTCAAGGACTAAATTTCATAAATGTCTTAATTATGCTAATGGAAATTTTGTTTATTATTACGACTCAGGCCAGGCAGGCATTCAGTCTCCCGTCCTTAGGAGAGCACTTAGTTCCAATCTCACTGTCACAGCTGAAATTTGGTGTGACCTTGGGAAAGTCCTTTACCTTTCCCTGATTTTGTTTCCACGTGATTATAATTAGGGAAATACTCCTTGCCCTAGTTAAAGAGCTGAAGTACAATACAGGGTCTTATAACAAAACACTAGAAGTGCTGACCCAGGCAAAGTTCACTGTGAGTTGTGTGTAGTCAGGGGAGGCTTCATGGAGGAGGCTGTGTGAGATCCCGATTGGTTGAGAGAAGAAAACCACAGATGGGAACGAGTGCATGCAGTGGAGGGAGAAAGTGTGGAGGAGGGTTGAGAGAGGAAATGAGGTAGTCTCGTCTCTGCCTGTGAGCAGTGTCAGCCTGGCACCCACATACGTGAGGATGACCTGTCTCCCATGCTTGGCATGTAGCAGGTGAGACCTCTCTGTGCGGCGCTTCCCCACCTCTAACATGCAAATAATAGCAGCACACCGCGTCGTGGTGCTGTTATGGCGATTAAATAAATGAATTCACAAAATGTTTAGGGGGATTCCTGGCATATAGTCAATGCGCCATAAATAGGAGTTGTTATCATTAGCATCATTATTATTAACCCTTCTTACTCTCCCTGGGCCCCCAGAAGTCCCAGCAGCTGTGTTTGAAAGCAGAGAGGCCTGGTCTCTGGCATGATTCAGAGGTCACCCTCAGAAAGTCTTGTACAACTGAGTCCCAAGGCCAACAGTGACTAAACCTCTGGGCCAGAGATCCAAAAACCTCGTTGCTAGCTTTCTCCTGCAGAGTGTCAAGTCGGCCCAAGGAGGAGTCAGGTTCCGCCACGGGGATGGCACTGACCCGTTCTGTAAGCAGCAGAAGCAGCTCTTGTGAGCATTTTGGGTTGGACAATAGGATCTTTCTGGAGGGGATAGTTGATGCTATTGGGTGGTTTCTGGGGAGAAGCAACCAATGCTTCAGGACCCATGGCCGTGTGGCCCATCCTAGCACCGACACAGCGTCCAGGAGGGCACCAGGCCTGGGACAATACACTAAACACTGGAGCCTACCTCGGATGAGGTGCTAAGAAAGCCCCCATTTCTAGAGGTCAGACACAGGATGGAATTCTTCCTTGACTGTCAGCCCTGTTGGAATCACATCAAACATGGAAAGGATAGGTCTTTTCACCTGATTTGGGGGGCTCCCCAAACCAGCAACAGATGCACAGGGCAATGTGGGAGAAAGAGCCTAGGATTGGCCATCAGAAGACCTGAGTTAAGTTCTTGCTTCATCTGTTATGGCTACGTGATCTCAGACACACCAGCTAACCTTGCTGTCTCTCTGCGATCTTAGTTCGAAAATAGGAATAAAGCCTTTTCCATGGTGGTAGTGTTAGTGTCGGTAGTGACAATCCAGAGGTCAGGATGTGAATGCGCAATGGGACCTCCGCACGGTCGCCATCATCATCATGGAAGGCAGTAGACTCTGGAGGCTGAGGGTGAGAGCCCTCAATGGGGAACCACCCCAATGTCTGTCAGCTGCCGAGCAGAGAGACAAACTGTGGTCTGTCCATATGGTGGAATATGACTCAGCCACGAAAAGGAAGAAATTGTTGACCCAGGCTTAAAGGAAACTAGCCAGTCACTAAAGACCACGTACAATGTGAATCCATTCATAGACGATGCCCAGGATAGGCAAATCCATTAAGGCAGAAAGGAGATAAGGGGGTGCCAGGGACTGGGGGAAATAGGGAAAGTGTCCTAAAAGTAGATAGTGGTGATGGTCTGTGAATGCAGTAAAAACCACCAAATTGTACATTTTCAATGGGTGAATTGCATGCTGTATGAATTATATCGTTCCCCAAAATAGGCAGAGGTCTGAAGTCAGACTGCCTGGGTTCCAGGTTAAGCTCAACCCCCGAAGAGCTGCGCAACCCAGGGCAAGTTATTTAACGAGTTTTGCTTCAGTTTCCTCCACCTGTGAAAAGGGGATAGTAACATAAATAAAATCACTGGATTGTTTGAATATTACAAGAGGAAATCCGTGTGAAGCGTGCCACAGTGTCCAGCATATACTCCATGCTGTACATGTGCAAGCCTTTGGCAGGGCTTCTAGGGCCAGATGAGCAGCAGCTGTGGAAGACGAGCCAGATGTCCAGGGCCAGGGAGATAGGGCAGAGAGGAGTCACAGAACCAGCCTCCGGGCCCGGGGACTCTACGCTGGATGCTGAATGTGTGCTCCGTATGCATCAAAGAGCCTGCCCCCAGGGGTGATGAGAATACTGCCTTCCTGAGTTCTGCTACATGTCCTGGGTTCTCCAGCTCTGCTCTGGGGCCCAGACAGGCACACTTTTTAAGAGCTCCCCTTGGGACTCTCACGATCAGCTGTGTTTAAGAACACCTAGTACGTACCTCAAGGAGGCAACCGAGCCTCGACGAAGCAGGCTGAGCCCACGGGGTTCCACCACATCCCCAGGGCGATGACAGGCAGGACCCAAGTCAGGGCTAATGTTAATTGCCAGAGGTTCCTATGCCAGTTGAGGGAAGGGCAGGGGTGGGGAGGGTTCAGACACCTGGACCCTAAAGTCATCCCTAGAAGGGCCTCTGAAGGTACCAGTGGAAAACACGCAGGTAGGTTTGTCCTACCTAAAGAGGAGCACCAACTTTGGAAAAGACTTACATGACAAACTAGAAAAGAGAGCAGGGGTGTAATAGCTCCTGAATGTGAATGACGGGGTCTGAATTATCCAAGAGGAATCATTCATGCAGCACTGCTGGACATTCAGGCTTGTATTTTTATGAAAGGTATGTTCTTCCATATTAAATAAGTCTCCTCATAGATTTCCTCCTGGAAAATCACAGAATTCGAGAAAAGCAGAATCACCTGACACAAGTTCATCAGGGCCTTGCTTTTGAGGAGATGAATGCCCACACTATGCCACCCAAAGGATTTAGATACTGTCAACACACACCTAACACCCGATGTCATGTGAGGGTGGGTGGCAATGAGAAACAGGACTTCTATTTGTAACAATTTGAGCCTATTGCCCATTGCACTGGATTAAGTGGAGAAAGAAGGTCCAAAGTGTTTAGGGGCCTCTCACATAGAGGGCTCTCGGATGCCCCAGATGGGCTTTCTGGGTCTTACTAGAGGGGAGAGTGAGCTAGGGAAAGAGAAGGAAATGGTCACAGATCTAGAATCCCAGCCACACTCATCTTCAGGACGCCTCTCTGTGGACAACTCCCAAGTGAGATGTGCTTACCTCAAAGTCGGTGCCTGACAGCCAGTTCACATTGAAGGCATCAGTGAGGGGGCTTGTGTTGATAATCAGGGGCCACCCTGGGATCACAGGCGACAGCGAGGCTGATAAGTTCACAGAAAACTTGTGCACTGGAGTCTCAGGTGGAGAATTCTCGGCCACGGTGCTTGTAGCAGGCAAGTGGACTAGGTGTAGCATTTCTCTCCCTGCGGGTTTAACAAGGATGCAAAATGGCATGAACAGAAAGCCTTGTGCTGGGAACAAGGACTTAACAGCTTGGTCTGTGGCTTCAACCCATAGCTCGGAGCACTGATGGAACCTGGTCACTCCCCAAGAACAAATACTCTTGCCAAGGACTGGAGATGGAAATACGAGATCTTCTGGGAGCCAAGAAAACAACCACCACCAAACAGCCATGAAATCTGCTTCTGTCATTCTGTAAATAAAGCCACTGCTTTTCTCTTGTCTCCCTGTACCCCTTCTCTCTTCTCGCAGCCTTTGTGGAGAGCTAAGGAAAGACAGACGTGATGCCTCAGGAGGCAGACGTCCACTTGAAGGACCACATCCGGCCATGACATCCTGTCTTACAAGACCTGGGCAGTTTACAGGAGTTTATTTTCCTTGTCTGTGTCAGTGTTAGATTCAGAGGTCATCAAAAACTGAGCATGCATGACCGCCAAGCTCCAAAATCATGGTAGATCTCCCCGCATCCGTAAGTAATCTCAAGGACAACTGCTTGTCATTATGGGATGCTGGGGGGTGTCATGATGCCCAGGGTCCATCAGTACATCTTCATTGATAGATTAACTCCCATTTCACAGGGAAGGAAATGAGAGAGACTCAGGGAAGGCATGCGCATTTCCTCCGGCTGCATCTCAGACAGGGAGTTTGACAATTTAAGAGAGAGAATGTTTCTTCCAGGAAAGCCTTGGGACATTCTTCGGTCTCCTTGATACTCTGCACGATTTTGCCGGTACAGACGAGAGCAGCAGGTCCTGTTCTTTCATGCTTCCATAGCGATGGTTACTCTAGGGGGGTGAAAAGTGTCCCCCCCAAAAATAAAATCCATGTTCACTCAGAACCTCAGAATGTACCTTATTTGGAAACAGAGTCTTTGCAGATGAATTGGTTAAGAGGAGGTCATTGTGGATTGGGGTGCACCCTAATCCACCAAATGGAGTCCTTCTAAGAGGACAGGGCATGGAGACACACACAGGAGGAAGAAAGCCATGTTATGATAGAGACAGAACTTAAACTGATGCAGCTAGAAGCCCAGGAACAGCAAGCAACCACCAAAAGCTAGGAAGTCCATGGAGAACAGATCTCTCAGAGTTTCTAGAAGGAACCAACCCTGTCAACACCGCGACTTCAGACCCCAGATCTCCTGAACTATGAGAGAATACATTTCTGTCGCTCACAGCCATCCAGTTTGTGGTAGCTCATTATGGCAGCTCTAGGAAGTCAATGCAAAGACCATTTATCCCATATTCCAAATAAGTGCACAATGTAAAATCCTTTCTCTCACTCACTCCCCAAAACGGGGAGGATAGGTATTAGTGCCACTATTTTACAGATGAGGAAACGGAGCTAAATAATAATAATAAGTAACAAAACCAAAATTTATACTGAAGTCCTACTTCTTAGTTAGCTTCCTGATCTTTGCCACTTTCGCCGTTGGGGACAAGCCCCTGGGAATGGGAGGGAGGTAACTATCCTACCAAAAGGTGTAGAACTTCTGGAGACAAACAAGCCATGGGAAGGGCTGGCTTTTGTAAGAGAATGTTTTTATTTCAGATTTGGGGGCAGGGATGTGGAGAAGTGAATGCAAATGTAGGAAAAATTGAAATATAAACACATTGGTACAAGCTTTCATAAATCTAAAGTCATCTTATTTCAGTTAGAGACTAAAGTTCATTATGCATAAGTTATTTTTGCTCCCAGAATTTTCCAGTTTCATGGACACAGACGGAGCAAGGGCTCAGAAATAAAAAAGCAGCTGAGGTTTGGGGTGACATGGATATGAATAGATTTCTTTTAATCTTTTAAAATTGACTTTAATATTATAGCATTCTCGTGATAAAAATCAGGAGCCAAATAGTAAGCTATTTAGAGGCAAAAAAAAAAAAAAAAAAAAAATTCTCCCAAATAGTTTTTTTAAAATGAGCAAATTAATCGGTTGCTTCTGTGCTTGGGTTTTTTTTAGGCATTCCCTCACTCCCTCTTTTCCCGCAACCGGAAGTCACCAGGGCCCTCATGAGCTGTTCGCCAGACTGTTTCCTCTCTGTTCAGCAAGACAGGGAGAGTCATAAGCAAAATGGAAGGTTGGTAATTTCAAGGAAACCCCCACCTTCTCTTGTCCCCTCGCACACACCCCAATGACTCGGGCCCCTCCAGACAAGGAGGAAGGAAGCCTCTGCTCCAATTTAAGCAAAGATAGAACTCACTGGGTTTTTCTCAAGAGTCGCCTGCGGTTAGGTGGGTGCCCAGCCCAGATGAACAGACCCAAACAAGTAACCACTTGCATTTACCGAGCACCTGCTCACCAGGCCTCGTGCGGCTCCGCTGCCTGATCTCAGCCTTTCTGAACACAATCCCATGGTGGAGGTGTCACTGTCACCCCTTCACACGCCTGAAGTTGCACCCTCAGCAAGGGGCCGTGGTAGGCCTGGCTAACAGGTGGCACATATGTACTACAGACAGTCTGTCACCACGCACACGTAATGCCTCGTGGTCATTCTACGACCCGGTACTTCTGTGTTCAACGACCCACATGGTGCTGGGGGTCCGGTAAGACACTGGCCCCTCCACCCAGATGTTAGGTCATGGTGATGCAATCTGTGAGAGGCTGTTTGGGGGAACAAGAGAAGGAATCACGCTGCAGGATTAGCTTGACGTGGGCTCGGGTGTGAGAAGCTTTCCGCAGCCTCGCCATGAACAGGCAGGTTGCCATGACCACCAACCTGGGTGTGTCTCCTTCGACAAACGGAGAAGGCTAGCCAAGCCATGCTCTTCCAACATCCCCTGCTGAGAGCTCCTCATTTGCTCTGCTGAGAGTGTGTCCATTGATCCTGCTGCGTTCATTTTAACTTCGATAAGCCCTGGGTTCTGGAAACTAATTCTGTCCTTTGCACAGCTCCATACGTTTATAGAGCTTTTCCTCCTTATATTTATAGACCTTTTCATAGTCCTCTTTGAACGGCCGTATTTTGCATGGCAGTGAGGGAGATGTGTTGAAGGCAGGAGTGGGTATATTTAGTGCCCCTCAAGCAACTTGTGTTGGGGACTGCCTGTTTCATGTATGGCTAAAGCCAGGCTGCACCCTTAGATATGTCCTTTCTGCTGGCATTCTTTTCTCTCTCTCTCTCTCTTTTTTTAAGTAGGCTCAGGGGCTTGAACTCACAACCCTGAGACCAAGACCTGAGCTGAGATCAAGAGTCGGACACTTAACAGACTGAGCCACCCGAGCAGCCCTCTGCTGACATTCTTGCTGGAGATGTTCTGCGCTTCATCCAGTGGCCTCTGTTCCCAAGGTAAGGTCACGTGCACAGGGAGCGTGCCACTGATTCCTAAAAACTTTGTGGCAGATACTCCAGGGACACTGGTAAGAAAGGTAGTCAAGCTGGGATCTCCCAACTCTTAGTTCAACAACCAGTTCCTTCAGTTCTTCTGCTATTAAAAAGGTAGTAGTAGCAATATTAATAGCCATGGTAATAATAATAACTGGTGGCTAGGGTCCATACCCTAAATATAGAGCATTTAATAAGACATGAAATCCATCAAATGTTCAACCCACTTATTACACAGATCAGTTTAAGGGATGTGCCCAGAGGTACTCAGCTAATCAGCGGCAGAGGGAAGGTTAGAAGCTGGGAATGGCTCTAGGACACTACACGCTTGCCTTCCGAGGCCCGTCTTCCAAACTTTCTCTGGTGGTCTGGGTGCTGGAGACCGAGAAAGAGGCTTTAATGGAATTTGACTTACGCATGCATCTTAATTAAGGATCAAATTAGAATTGCTTGAAGCATACACTTTGAAAAAGGAAGAGCATGCAGAAGATTTATTACCGAGCCCACTGAAACATCTTGCTTGTGGTGGAGATCTGGATGCATGATGTGCTCGCTCGTTTCAAAATGAGCAAAATCACCACCTTGCCAGAAATGGACCAACAAAGCCTCCTCCCAGGGCCTGTGTTGGAATAATTAAGGCTTCTGCAGCCTCAGTTGTGGGGGCAGAAGCTGGCCAGCCTGGGCCTCTGACACCAAAATAGTCATGTGGTTCAGGAGCATGGGTGCTGCCACCTTGTCCCCCCAGGGATGTAGCTGCTCTCACAGTGTGACTTCAATACACAGAGCAGTCCTTGCCCAAGACTGTCGCTCAATAAATTCCTTGTCATTCTCTCTAGTAACTACTAAAAACGGTAGTGAGAGGGCGCCTGGGTGTCTCAGTTGGTGAAGCGACTGCCTTCGGCTCAGGTCATGATCCTGGAGTCCTGGGATCGAGTCCCGCATCGGGCTCCCCGCTCGGCGCAGAGTCTGCTTCTCCCTCTGACCCTCCCCCCTCTCATGCTCTCTCTCTCTCTCATTCTCTCTCTCTCAAATAAATAAATAAATAAATAAAATCTTAAAAAAAAAAAATAAAAACGGTAGTGAGAGGGATCGGGGAGTGTGTGAAAAGAGCACGGGATTTGCAATCAGAGCTCTTGCTTCAAGTTTGAGCTCTGTTAAGGGACCTTGGGCTGGTCAGCTTGGCCCTGTGTCAGCTCTGCCCCTCAGGGCTGTGGTGCCACACCACCAGTGGCCATTAAACAGAGTTCACTTGCTAAAGAAAGTGCCTAGGACCCGAAGGGAAAGCTTACAAATCTATGGTTTATTACAGAAAAAGGAGGTGAGTTAGCAACAACATTATAGTGTGCACCACAGCTGAAGGCTGCCTCCTAGCTTGAGGACCAGAGGGGCCCGCGGCCAGCTCCCATCATCCCCTTTTCTCCAGGGGCCATTAATAGAATACACTCGCTCAGATCAGAAACCTCCGATGTAGCCTCGCAACCAGGGAACTCAAAATAGAGTCTCTGCTGGACATTTTTATATTTTGCTGGTCATGTAGGCACCATCTCTTTAGGTAACCAGCCTCAGCAGCAGAGCCTTCCAAGCCAGGTGCACATCATCATTGTCACTGTTATCCACGAACAATGCTTACAGGCCCCTACAAACCATCCCGAAACTCCCCGGACCCACAGCTCCAAAGCAGCACTGTTCATCAGCACACTTCTTGCCTTGACCAGAAGTCTGTTCTGGGCAGAAACTTCAGTGAAGCAATTCAGGCTCATTCTGGGCCTACTAGAATTCACTCTCATGGCACAGATACCATACACTGAACACGCATATACTCGATAAACCATAAAACATTATAGAATGTGGTTTCATTACTTGCAGTGATCATTGATGATGATCAATGAAAACAACAACTATTTATTGGATCCCATATATATGTGTGGCATGTGGGGACCACAGAGCAATAAGAGAACCAAACCTGTGACTACAGGGCCCACATTCCCCTCAAGGACACGCGACAGACACGTAACAGAAGAATTATAGAATAACTCGTGCTACCTGTTGTTAAGCACTTATTTTGTGTAGGGCACTGTAATCAAACCTTGGCATACATTCCGCATGTAGGCAAGAGGAACTCCAGGGTGTGGCAGGAAGAGCACCCGCCAGGAGTTGGGGCAATCCAGGAAGGCTCCGTGGGGGAGGCGGGATTTGACTTGGGTGTTGAAAGATGTAGATGACTTAGAGCAAATGAGAGGAAAGAGGTTACTGGAGTGTGTTACTTTGTTTGAGATTATTGGGTGATGCCTGCTTCCACTAGCCTGAAGGCAGCTCCTAGTGTGGCTGCCCACCCCTCCCCTTCGTGCCAGGTGACTCTGGTGTTGGAGACGCTGGGATAAGAATCAGGTTCTCAGACTCACAAAAGAAGGTGAGAGGAAAACAGTTTGCATCACAGCAGACCCTCAACAAACCAGGGTTTGCCCCATGGAAGCAAAAGCAGGGTACAGTGCATGGTTTTTTGGAGATGGAGGGATGTGAGTGTGGCTTTGACAAGGAATTTCAAATATTTCTTGCAAACCTTTGTGATCTGTCCCTTTCACACTTCTGATGATAAACTTCCAAATGATAATGTTCGGCATGAGACACTCGGTTCTTCCTGACCTCACTCTTCCCCCAATGGCAACAAATGTCACCCCTTAACTCAAATTATTGTGGTCTGAAAAGCCTATAATTCTGGGAAAATCTCAAATGTTTACTGCAAGGGAGAGTCTGAACTGCTCAAGACCTCGCCTCACATTCCCAGCTCCTCTTGCCCTCTGCCAGGTAGAAGACGCCAAGATTAAAGAGCGTTCAGTATTAGGAAACCCAGTCATTTATTTATTTTTTTTAAGATTTTTTTTTTATTTGACAGAGAGAGACACAGCGAGAGAGAGAACACAAGCAGGGGGAGTGGGAGAGGGAGAAGCAGGCTTCCCGCGGAGCAGGGAGCCCAATGCGGGGCTCGATCCCAGGACCCTGGGATCATGACCTGAGCCGAAGAGGGATGTTTAACGACTGAGCCACCCAGGCGCCCCTCCAGTCATTTATTTATGTTATTCACAGATCAAAGGGGAAAATTAAGTGGTTATTTCCATACAACTGGAAAAAAACATTTGATTTAAAAATCCACTGTGAGGGGATTGTCTGCCTTCTGCTCAGGTCATGATCCCAGGGTCTTGGGATCGAGCCCCACATCGGACTCCCTGCTCCGCGGGAAGCCTGCTTCTCCCTCTCCCACTCTCCCTGCTTGTGTTCCCTCTCTAGCTGTCTCTCTCTCTCTGTCAAGTAAATAAATAAAAAATCTTAAAAAAAAAGTGGAAAATGCATGACAGTCACCTGGAAAACCATGACAAATAATAAGATAAGTCATTTGTAGACTTCCATCCATTGTACGACAATCAATTAAAACAGACAAGGGAAGAAAAGATGCTATTCACAAATAAGGAAAAAGAAAAGGTAAAAAAAGAACTAGAAATAAACGTAATTGGAATGTGCAAGAACTCTGCGAAGGAAATCTTAAAATACTCCGGAGGAAAACAAAGACTTGAACAAGTATCTAGAACTGTTGAACAGGAGGCTCAATGTCCTATGTAATAATCACTAACATTTACTAAGCATTTACCATGTACCACATACTCCTACAAGTGTGTTACTATATAACTCATCAAATATGTAAATTATCCCTAAATTAATCTGCAAATTTAACATGATTGAATTCCCTACATTATGCATATACTACCTATTCAAAAATAAGATTGAATTTAAAAAGCGCAATTTCCATAAGCTGACAACATTAAAAGGATCACCCAAGATTCTTCAAGCTCTTGAGTAAGGAAGAGGGAGTACAAGATGCACCAGGTTGAATCTTTGGTTCTTCTATCAGAAGGTGTTTTCTTTGCTCAAGAGTAAGACAATAGCCCCTTGATACCTTGGTTTTTCCATAGGATGACTTGCCAACTTCTGGTTGCCCCTAGAAGGCTCCAGAGAAAAGCCAGAATCTCCACAAAGACTGACTTGACATATACACAAAGCTCTGCTGTGAAACTCATTTTCCCAACCTTACATTTTGGAAGGACTTCTGGCACAGGCTAGTTAGCAAGGAGAGAAATTGAAGTGTGCACAGAGACCAGAGACTAGACTGTGGCTTCATTTGGCGCCCCTCTTCTTCAGAGCACCCCGCCCAGCCTCCGAGGGCTCCCTGTTGCTGCATCATCTTATTTACCAGTGCTGATAAGTCCACGGTTAAAGACCTCCCAGATGGGATTTCCTCTTTAGGGATGTTATCATGAAGTGGCAACATGGCATCCCTACCTGACATGGCACCAAGGAGAACCAGGAGGAAAACTGCTCCCTGCATCTTAGAGAGTTCACCTCTGTACATATTTCCAGCGTATTACCCAGTAGCTGAGTCCCGCCCGACACCTGGAGTTTATTCCAGTTGCCACTCATCTTCTGCTCCTGGTTTTGTTGCCATGTGAGAAATCAAACAGAGGCTTTGCTGGTAACTCAGGGAGACTCCAAACACCAGAGGACTATTTGTTCTTTGATTACCTGCTTCTGTGACCTCATGGTACCCAAGAGGCCAACCAGCCAGCCCTGGTAAGCTCACAGAGTCCATCTTAGAGGTCCGCAAGAGCAAAGAAAGCAGAGGCCCGGAGATGGTGGTAAAAGCTGGACATAAGCATCGACATCCCTGATGGTCTCCACCGCCCTGGAGCCAGGCATCTCGTCATTCCCAGAGGCAGGGGTGGGGGGTGGGAATTTTTCTGCTGCCCTGAATTGAGGAGCAGGGCTCAGAGTTGGGATCAGACCCCTCCACAAGGCAGACTGGCTGTGATAGACCCTGCCCATCACCACCAGCCCTCTAGCCTTCGGTGAAGTCTGTGGAGGAAGATGACTGGGGTAGTGAGGCTTCCACCCACTGGGGAGTGATGTGGCCCCAGGCCGGGCTGGAAAGCCTGGTGAGTGAAACACAGCTGGGCTGGGGTCCAGCCTCTGCTCAGAGAAGAGCAATGGCAGCTCAGAGGGAGGGTATGGGTGGAGAAGCCCGACCCCTCAACGTGGTGCTGTAGAATAGTAGCTGACACAGTGGAAGGCAGCCAGACTTGGACCCTCCCTCCTGCTCCTCACACGCGAGAAATGCCCACTGCCGGAGGGGGGCCCAGGAGCCCAAGGCTGGTAGCAGGAGTGGGGGCGCCCCACCAGTGAACCAGCATTTGGCTCCTCAGAGGTCACCACCGGCCAGTTAGTCGGTCTGAGCCAGAGGAAGGCCCATCAAGAGAGACAGCAATGAGGGCCCACTAGGTAGACACACCAGTCGCTTCCCCTCTGCCTCCTCCCCGTACTTCTGCCCCCACACAAAGGCAGGAGGCCTGACTACACCCCACGTCCAGGTCCCAGGCTCTCGGAGTTCCAGTTCCCGCTGCACCAGCCTTGAAATGAGACTTCAGTCCAGTGTGAGATGGAAATAAGAGCGTGATGGACTATGAAGAGTTAGAAGCGACCTGGAAGCAAGATCTTAAGGGCGATTTCATGGAGGCCAACAGACCATCTCAGTTCATCTGCCCCTGAGACTGCTAAATAAGCTGGTGCAGCCCCTCCCGGGCACAAGGGGACAAGGGCTCAGAGGGTTGAGTGGCCTGCCCCCAGTCAAGCTGGCACCTGCATCTCCTGCGTGCCAAACCAAGGGCAGCAAGGCCGGCCTCCTTCCTCACCACCGCATCCAAACCTGCGTCAAGCCCCTTCCAGCCCCCACAGTGCCACCTGCAGCCCCCTTTCCCAATTTTGCGGCCACCAGTCCGGCTTAAGGTCCTGACCTCTGACCAGGACTATCTCAGTAGCATCTGGGGCGTCCTACAGGAAACCCTCAGGTTCGTTTCCCACAAGTACAATTTTGGTCACTCACTCTCCTACTTAAAATAACAAGCAACCTTTCCCTTAGGAAAAGATGACTTTCCTGGGTAAGGCAAGAAGATTCGAATGTCAGCCTGTAAGTTTCTGTCTGAAATAGGTAGATGGCAAAAAAAACTTCTCAGTTTTGCTGTGTGACCTTGGGCAAATTACCTAACCTTCCAGAATCTCAGTTCCACATCTATAATGGACAGACAGAGAGGATAATGCCTGTTGTGCAGTATTCTTGCAAGCAGCACATGAGATAATGAAGGGAAAGAAACTGGCCCTCGGATGTGCTCCAGGGATACTATTTTTTCCTAATAGGACATCTCTAGGACCACGGCAAAGGCGAAAAGCTGGTAGGTACCCCATAAACGTGGGCTGAAAACATAAGAATAAATAGTTGCCAAGTTACCAATTCTCACCTCTCAGTTTTTCCTGTCATATTAGTTACTGTAAATAATCCATTTCATTATGCATAATTAAAGTTGAAGTGATGGCTCCGATTAAGTTATGGAAAACGTCAGAATAATTAAGCCTTTGAATTAAAGAAACTCACATCTGTTTAATTTTCAGCCTGACTGCACAGCCGTTCCTCATACTGCTGTTTTCACCAGGATACGGAGAACCTCCACTTAACTTCCCCCTTTCTGGTCCGGGGATCGTAAGGGTCACATTTTGGAATTTGTTGCGGGTTTGTTCTCCTGTAATTACAGCTTCTGTTTTTAGCGCTGAGGTTGTTTCGGCCATCATGATATTCTGTGGTCCTTGCATCGGCTCCCGTCTTCTTCTCGAAGGATGTGGTCCTGGCATCAGGGACCCAGCTGGACCAGAGTCACGTGGAGGCAGGACCCTGAGTCCCCTTGCTCTCCTGTCCCCGACTGAGGGCAGGCTGAGTCCTCCTGGTCCCACCAGAGTGGCAGCCAGGTGAGATGAAAGAGAGGGATTTGAAGGGGGCTGGAACCTTTGGGGCATGCACCCCTCCAGCTGCCCAGAAAGACCTGGGGAGCCTTCTCCCACATCGTGTCTGGCCCAGCAGTGGTTCAGGCCCTTCAAGTATTTAAAGCAACTTTTCTGGGATCCAACTACTGCAAGCCTCTAATTGGCCAGCAAGGAAGTTATGCTCTCAAGATTTGTTGACTTAGAATTTGGAACATGCTTACCTACAGATTAATTGTTCACAGCCCGGAAACCCTTGCATAAGCTGTGAAGTCCTGGAAACATTATAGACTTGAGATGTGGAGAAGCACTGCTGGGGGTTTTAAACGTTGAGCTCCCTCAGCAGTTCCACGGGCACTGGGGGCCGGCCAGGGACCCCAGTCACCTCTATATCACTGGGCAGGTTCTGTCCACGACTCTCATTCATCCAGTCCTGGAACTATGGGCTTCCGGGATCCAAACTCGGGGACACGGCGCCCAGGCTCCACCGTCCCAGCACCTCGGCATGGCGGGACCCCCTTAGGAAGAGAGCCCTCGAGGCCAAGCCCACACCCCCAGGGATGGTGGCCATGCTGATGGCCTGCAGCTCCTTGTAGGAGTGGGCACCCACCTGCCTTCCCAGGTCTTCCTTGTGGGCCGGAATACCAGCAGGCACACCTCTTTCAAACTGCACTCCCTCAATTCTCTCACTGTCAGTGTCCAGCCAGTCTCAACAAGCTTTTCCAGGCCAGAGAAGCTCTTCTACTTCCTTGCTTCCCAACTGCTTTGCATGTCACCCCGTGCCAGATGCGTAGTCAGAAAAGTTGTGACATTCCCAAAATTGCTTTATACTCCCTTGCCCTGTGCCATCCTCTCCTCTCCCCAAACACCCGTCCAGGGAGAGCCCCTCAGCTTTTGGGGAAGGAAGGAAAGAGGTGCTACGGCCCTCCTCACGTCCAGAAGCCCAGCAGCACTCACTCCCGGCCCAGAACGGCATGGGAGGGGCTCCTCTGAGGCAGAGGCCCTGTAGAAGCGGAAGAAGAATTTCCCTCCACTCTTCTGAGCTCTTGGCTGAGACCCCGATAATAAAAGACAGATTGACAAGAGAAAAACAAACAGAAGTTTATTAATGTATATACTTCGTGGATACATGGGAGATAACTGGAGAAAAAATGGATAACTCCCCAGGGGGGCTCAGAATTCAGGATTAAATACCATTTTAATAAGAAAAGGGGAAGGGAGCTGTTCATGATCTTAGGGGAAGGAAATTGATTTTTCAGCAAGATGAATGGGCCCTTAAAAGAACAGATGAGAGGTATGATAGTTTGTGACCTACTTTGTCTGGCGTGGGGTTGACTTCTAGACTCCTCTCCTGTGATAAGAGTCAATCTTCCATTGTTGATGGAACTCCTAGAGAGAGGATTTATGACAACTGAGTTTCTTTGGAGGATCTGTCTTCAGGCAGATGAGGAGAATTCAAAGAAAGCCTTTCCCTGTATTTGAGGTTTTTCAAGCTCAGCTCAAAATGATCAGTATGCCAAAGCAGCATTTCCTGGGGTGGAGTCATATTTTGGGGTGACATAGTCTGTCACCCTGCAGCCCTCAGGACCCACTGGTAGGGCCCCTGCCCTGGCTCCAGGGGTGGAAGAGTGAATGAGCTTGAGTTCCCTTAGATTAGCCCTACCTGGCTCCGAGAGACAGAACACTGGTCAGCATGGGCTGGGCTCAGCTCTCACCTCCAGGAAACTCCAGATCATTCTTATTTTCTATAACAGCATTACTGAGATGTAATTCACATACCATACAGTGCACCCATTTAATATGTGCAATTCGGTGGTTTTTAAGTATATTCACAGAGTGGTGCAACCATTGCCATAATGAATTTGAGGACACTTCCAACACCCCACACCCCTTAGCACTCACTCTTCACATTTCACCAGCTTCCTTCCGCCACTCCAGCAGCCAGTCATCCACGTTCTGCCTCTATAGACTTTCCTATTCTGGATGTTTCATATTAATGGAATCATATGATATGTGGCCTTTTGGACAGACTTCTTTCACTTTGCAAAATGTTTTCAAGATTCATCCCTGTTGTAGCATGAATCTTTACTTCATTTCTTATGATTGCTGAATCGTATTCCATGGTATGGCTATTCCCACCTTTAATTTGTCCATTCATCAGCGATAAACATTTGGGGTTTTTTTTCCTACTTTTTGGCTATGGTGAATAATGCTATGAACATTCCTGTCTAAATTTTTGCAGGGACATATGTTCTCATTTCTCTTCGATATATACCCAGGAGTATAATTGGCGGGTCATATGGTAATTGACAGATCACTCTCTGTTTTTTTTCTTCCCGTGGTTGGTTTTTACATGTTTATAGGGGGTCTCTTCCCTGTCCACAGGGAGAGGTGTTCATAGTTTCTCCATCCACTCCAAGCTTGGACCCGGGGGATCCTAGGGTGGCTGGCATGTGGGGCACATTCCCATCATCTCAGAAGGGCCCTGGGTGGTTCGGTTGATCATGATGGCATGATCAGTGTGGG